TAATTATATATACAATATATATATATATATATATATATATATATATATATATATATACATATATATACAGATAATTCATAAAAAAAATAATATTATGCAATATTATGAAAAATATTAACTTCAAATCTTAATAATTAAAATTATCTTACATTAATATGATTGGTTAATATTATCAATTTTTAATTAATTAAAAATATTATAAAAGATTCCATACAAAATTAAAAAAATATTAAAATTTTCAATGTTATTACTATAAATTTTTAATATCATAATTTGCTTGATTGTATGTATATAATTTTGTTTTGTATTTAATTATATTTCATTCCTTTTTTACTTTATTTACGTTAACATATGTTGTGAAATTTTTGCTTGATAATTGACTAGTATAGATTATAATATGCACTATAGTAGATTATATCATAATGTTTTTTTAATTATTTATATGTTAAATGTTTCATTCATAGTCAAATCAAATACTTATGATTAAAATACTGTTTGTAATATTTTTTAATTTTTTATTATATCTTATATCTTTCTTAATTAAAAAATTAAAATTTTATAAAATCGATTTAAATATTTTGCTTTGAATTAAAATAATTAGGATATCATGTATTAGATAAATATTATTTAGATGAAGTATATACTACTATACTATTATATTCATCATATTAATCATTTTGATATTATAAATAAAAGAAAAAACACTATTTAAAAAGATATTTTCAATTTTTAGCAAATGCAGAATCTTCCAGCTCCTGTAAAACGCAGAATTAAAGCTTTGAAACAATTACAATTAGTTACAACTAATATTGAAGCAAAATTTTATGAAGAAGTTCATGCCTTGGAATGTGCTTATTATAAAATGTGTGCTCCTCTTTATGAAAAAAGAAGTGAAATAGTATCTGGTGTTTATGAGCCAACAGATGAACAATGTGTATGGGAGAGTGATGATGATGAAGAAGGATTAACTAATGATTTAAAAACAAAAGTGAATCTCGAAGATGATAAAGAACAGAAAAAAGAAGAGTATGATCATTTTGTTTTTATTAATATTATATTTATTTCATTTTTATTGTTATTATTCATTACATAAATTTTCATTTAAAAATGTGCACTCAATTTTTATTTCAATCATTTCTTGTTACAAAAGAATATTTAAAACAATAAAAAATATTACAATTTCTAAACAATTTTATTAAGTTGTTTAAAACACTTTCTAAATAGATTTCTTATTATATTTTCTATTCTAATTTAATTATGCCAAATTAATTTTTATTTCAAAGATTTCTCATTCTAAATTATTTGAAAAATAATTAAACATTAAAAATTATCCTTTACATTGATTTTTTCATTAATGAATTATTTTAGAGTTGAAAATGAAGATATTAAAGGCATCCCAGATTTTTGGCTTACAATATTTAAAAATGTTGAAACATTAGCTGATATGGTTCAGGAACATGATGAAGCAATACTCAAACACTTATATGATATTAGAGTGATATTTCTTGATAATCCAATGGTAAGTTGGAAAAAATATATATCATTCAATTGCTATAAAATCAAAAGATTTTATATAATTTACATACATAATTAGATACAAATATAAATCTTATATAGTTAAAAATAATAATAAATAAAAAATATGAAGTAAAAAAAAATTTCATTAAAGGTAATGAGATTTTTTATAGGGTTTTGTTCTTGAATTCCATTTTGCGCCAAATGAATACTTTTCTAATTCAGTTTTAACAAAGGAATACATTATGAAGTGTACCCCTGATAAAAATGATCCTTTTAGTTTTGAAGGACCTGAAATATATAAATGTAAGGTAAATATTGTTTTTAATTTCAGTTTATATGTTTATAAATTATATCTATATTATTTTTTATTTTCTAATAATTTATTTGAAAAATATTTAAAATTTACGATATATGTATACATATATATATTTTTTTTTAATTATTTCTATAGGGATGCGTAATTGATTGGAAGAAAGGAAAGAATGTTACAGTAAAAACTATAAAAAAAAATCAGAAACATAAGTCTCGAGGGTCCATAAGAACAGTAACAAAAACTGTTCAGAACGATTCTTTTTTCAATTTTTTCAGTCCACCAATTGGTAAAAATACACAATATTTCTATTTTATATTTTATTTTCATATTAAAAATACATACAAAATAATTATTCATTATAAACTATTCTTTTAGTGCCAGAAGATTCTGAAGCAGAATTAGATGATGAAACTCAAGCTTTACTATCCAGTGATTTTGAAATTGGTCATTATATTAGGGAACGTATAGTTCCTAGAGCTGTATTGTATTATACAGGTATTTTATAAATCAAAATACATATCTCTATATCTTTTTATAATAAATTATATTTTATAATAAAAATTATAAAATATTTAGTTGTTTTTTTAATTATAAATATTTTATAATTTTTTAATTTTTTTAAAAATATTTTTTATGAAAATAAAAATATTTTTATTTCAAACATTAATTAATTAATTATAATTATTGAAATGAAAAATATACATTTTTTTATACTTTAAGCATAAAAAAAATCAAACCAAATAATTTATTAAAAAATGCATATTAATACTAAATTTAATTCAATAAAATATTATTATAACTGTAAAATCAATAACAAATAAAAAAAATAACCAATATTTTAGGAGAAGGTTTAGAAGATGAAGATGAAGATTACGAAGAAGAAGAAGGTGATGAGGATGACCCTGAGGAAGAAGATGAAGACGATGAGGAGTCTTCTCCAAATAATGCACCACCAGGTGGGAAACAACAGGGAACAGATCCTAATGACTGTAAACAACAGTAGAATTACATACAGATTAAACTAAGAAAAAAAATGTCCGTGCGTACAGTAAGCGACAACATACATACACAAACACTAACGAAACTTGACCGATAACTGCCTAGATATCCTGCACCAGTGGCTCCAACGTAATCCTGTTTGTATCAATCATCTAATCATATCATATCTCCTATTCCAGATCAAGCCTAGACTCTTCGACATACCGGTGAAAAAAAATTATGCGTATCCTCCCTTTATCCAACGTTGACGATGAATAGAAAATATGGCTTATTAACAGCCTAAGATTTAATGTCATATAAGTATAAATGAATTGCGCTCTCCGCTCCACGTAATCATTGTCATTTTTAATTGCTTCATTTTATACTATTGTTACGTTTATATACAAACAAGAAAGTTAGTTGAATTTTTTTTTAAAACGCACGTTGACCTATGAAGAAATTTTTGGGTACTGTTAAAGCATTTTTAATACAAAAATTGAAAAAAAGCAAACAGCAGACAGCGCTTTGTTTCTTCTTATCGTATAACAAACATATAGTGCCATTTTCCTCTCCTGTTTTTTTTTCCTTCCCTCTCTCCCTCCTCTCTCTCTCTCTCTT